ACTAAAATTGAATCGTGTCGTTCGACCCAACGTGTAGGACACATCATTTTTAATCGCTTAATATTTAACGAAGGCGATATTTTCTCTATGTTTTTTTCAAGAACAAGTTGTCTTTTTGGCGTTCTGAAAAATACTGCGATTTCTTGTATGGATCCATTAGTATTTCGAACACTTTTTACATTACAAGCATAAGAAACAGCTAGATTCAGGCAATGAGAAGTACAATGGAGGTATAACGCTAAAGGATACTTTTCAGTGATATGTGCTTGAACTCCATTGAAACAGCCACTCATGGCAGCAGCACCATCGTATCCTTGACCTCTTAAATAGTTTAAATTTAAGCCTAAACTTGTCAAAGTATTTAATATGACTGTGGCTAGTCCATTTCCTGTTACATCTGTTACAGGCACAAAAATCAAAAAATCTTCCCTGATTTTTGATAAATCTGTATCAAAGTAGCGTATACAGATTGAAAACTGTTCTGTACCTGAAACATCCGCTGTTTCTTCTGCAAGTATAGTAAAACATTGTGACTTATTAATTTTTGACACAATTTGTCTTTGAATTAGTGTTCCACATGAGTCAATAATTTCATTCTGCATTTTTCCACTTAAGTAAGTTGCGTTACTTGATGCTTCAGTTAAATGCTTAGTTAGCATAACATCACCACCTGAAGCTCGATAACGGAGTAGTGCCCGAAAGTTTCCATCATTTTCTAAAGGCTCTTCTCCTAGTACTATCCGACCTGAGTCCTGATGCCCTCTTGTAGGTAGACCTTGACGGCCACACAGTAAAATTGTTTCAATGATTGGCTTTATTCGCTCACGGTTTTCATGTACATTATTTTTAAGAACATTATTCAATTGGACATCAACTGCTGGACTATTTTTGGTTTTTATATATATTTATTATGTTATCTGCTTTTAGTACTGACATTTTATGATACTGAGTGTTTTCATGGTTATTGAATTTTGAAGTTGAATCCTTCCAGTTATCAAATTTTGTAATGACTAGTTGACCAAGTTGTTGATGACCTCTACCACCTTCATTGCAGCCAAATATAACACATAGTTTGCAAAAAGCTCCTTTCTCATTTTTAGAATATACAAGCCATTTCCATCTAGCAAACCAGGAATACTGAAAACGTAGTTTCCTTTTTCCACATAAGGTAAAATTGTAAGTAGGTTCTGGATCCCAATTGTTTTGAAAAAGATTGAATTTTTCCTTGGCACTGCGCTTGAATTGTGTGAAACTATATTTAAAAAAACTGTATGTAATATGTATAACAGGTGCATAACAAAAAAAAAAATGATGCTTAGTTAATTAAAGTCATGTTATCTAATTTTTGTGTAAAATAAAATATAAGATAGCTTAGGCAAGTGTTGGGTAAAAATTGAGCTCTAAATCATGCAATTTCTACAACATGCATTTCACAATAGGTAATGTTGTATTGTTGTATATTTATATAGCCAAAGCATAAGCAAAATAAACTTTCAAAGTAAAATTGTACTTAACCGTAAACCATACAAATTGATTTTGTAAAAATTTATATTTTTTAAATCCTCATTAACATCTATAACGCAGGGATGACTGTGAGTTGAAGTATTTTATTAAAATATTTGACTTTTTAGTTTTTAAATAAATATAATAAAAAAAAAAAATGTTTTTGATATTCCTATCCTGTAAAAAATTATATTTTAGACATTATTTATGTGTATCATAAAATATTCTAAATATTAATTTAAAATGAATGTAGTACAAAAATATTAAAATTTAAAATAAATTATAACTCATGGAATATAGCAATAAATTCCTTACCTTAACATTTTTTGAATTAGCTTTAACAACATCAAATATGTCACTATCTTTATTTAAAATAAAATCAGGTACACAATTTGACTAAAAAATATGTTTTAAACAATTGTAAATAACTGACAGTAATGTATTATTTATTAAGTTACTACCATATTATTAATAATTATTTAAATATTTTGCTTACTATATCATCTGGATTGTTTAAACATTTATTTATTTCTGAAATTCCAGGGTCTCCATTGTGGGATGTAAAGTCAATCAAATCTGATAATACTCTGACTGGAAAAAATGTAAAGAAACTTAGGTAGGTACCCATCAAAGGTTTTAAGAAAACTCAACAAATGTACATAAAATAATAATAATAAAAAAAAATATATAATTATTATATAATATACATTTGGCATTTAATATAAGTGGATTGTGGTAAAAGCTAAAAGTTTACTTACTGAGTCGTTAGGTGTTTCAAAAGTCAATTCTGAACTCGTTGAATCACCATCTGCACTTTTAATTTTTTTTTGAAAAAAAGATAAAATTGAAACACTTCCACTACGTTTAGCCACAATGAATTTAATAACAATATAAAATTTCTTACAATTAAGAGAACCAAATGAAAATTCGTTCGAGAGAAGTAGTGTCAATATTAGATAATATAAGTTATTAATCACGGTATTAACTATTAAGTAATGAATAATGATAACAGTAGTCATATATAATATATTGTATATAAATAATATAATATAAGCATTATAAACCGTTTACAATTTGACCACAGACGATTTGATATGACAGTGTCTTATCAATTATCAGTTATCAATTATTTTATCACAACAAATATTTCCGATGAGAAATTTTAAATAGGAACTTCCAAACTACACAATATTTTGATGAAATCTCTAATTCAAAATCCAGAATGTTTGAAGACTAAAAAAAAAAAAGCGCATGGGGGGGATATATCCCCATCATCCCCCCACTGCGCACGCCACTGACGTCAATACAATGAGAGGAGGGAGTGATCAAGTCAAAGTCTATAAAAGGCCGTACAACAAATAGTTGAACGCCTTTAGAGTCTCGATTTTTACACGGTTGGTAAAATTTAGTAAATACATTTTCTTTTCTTTAACCTGCACCTACCTATAAAATAAAATATTATACTTGTAAGTATTTTGAAATTTTACATTACTAATATTTTATAAGACATTTCAAATTTCAAATTAAAACATTTGAAAAATTTTATTTTTTGACTAAGGTTTTGATTAATTAGTTACATAACTAATGTGAAATTTTAAGAATTATTACACGATAATATTATGTTCCTTACCTTTTCAGCATGGATATTATTAATTTATCGGCAAGAGAGTTGTTTGCCGAAATTGAGGCGGCATCGGCGGCACTGAAGGTAGATGAAAAGTTTGCCACGGCGCATTGCGTCTCCGAAGACTTCCAGATGGGAAGAGGCTTGCCGTAAACTTCAAGTACAATTTATAGCTTCATTTTTTATCATTCATAACTTTATTTTCCAAAAATACGATCATACTCAAGCAATTATAGTTTTTAATTTATGTATTTATCTGATATGTTTTAAACATTTTGTGATGTGCTGAAATAAACTGAGCATAATCTGTGTAATATGTAATATTATTTAAAACAATAAAAAAAAACTGTGAAACTCGCATACAGTAAAATAGGGTAACTTTGATAAATTTGTACCGTTTTATTACAATTTTACTTTTTATTTTATGGATAATTTCTGTAGTATTAACGATAAAATTCCAAAAATTAAATCTTAGTTATAGCTAATTATCCTCAATTGTTTAACATTTAAATTTTTAAATTTCTGATGTTATCTTCTGAGATATTAATCTTTTTAAAATGCTATCAAAGTTACACCACGTTGTGGCCAACTTTGATACCAGCATTTTGTAATGTGTTATCTAAGTTACCCCATTTTATGAAAAAAATATTAAATTGTCGTGGTACTATGGTGAATAAAAATATCATATTATCAAAGTTACCCCATGAAATCAAAGTTACCCCATAATAAATGAGTTTTGTGAAATGTTCAAATATCTTGGGTATTCATTTTTGATTTAAATTAAAAAAAAAGATTTAATTTTATTTAAATTGCAGAGTGAAGTACGGAGCCCTCGGAGCCCTGATGGACCAAAAGGTCCGGGTCGGTGGTGTGGCGGAATTACAACCGAGTGACTAGGGAGGTAAAATTTATGTTTTTTACCTTGTCACAAAGGTGTTATTCCAGCATAAACCGACTCTCCAATCTCTGGCCGATTCATTGAACCAGCTGCGGGATCGATTAATCGATTTAAAAATAAATCGATTAATCATTCCAAAGCTTGGGTGCAATTTGGATCGGCTGGATTGGTATCAGGTGCGTGGTCTGCTTTCAACCACATTCAAAGTTGAAACAACAATAACAGTGTGTGATCCCGAATATGTAAGATTTTTTTATTATTTTTTTTATTTTGTATTCATCGTAAATAATTTGTTGGAAAATTAATTCACTATTTATTCATAAATGTAATTGCCCGCTACGTGGATGATTTCTAATTGATACTCTTGTAAGAAAGTTGACCATCTCACTAGTCTAGGATTTAACAACTGACAGGTATTGAGAAACGTTAAGGCATGGTGATCTGTCATTACTTTCACTTTATGCCCTAATAAGTAGTGTCGAAACTTTTTGCATGCGAACACGATAGCTAACAATTCGAGCTCCGTCGTGTTGTAGTTCCGTTCTGCCGTATTTAAGGTTCGGCTTGCAAAACCTAGTGACTGATGACCTCCCTCTTCACTGAGTTGGTATAGTTCGGCTCCTAAATGCGTTGTGGAGGCATCTATGTTGACGTAAAATTCCCTAATAAAATCTGGGAATTGTATGATGATGTCTTCTAGAAATTTGGTCTTTATATTCTCAAAGGCATGTTGCTGTTTGGCCCCCCAGGTCCATTTGGTATCCTTTTTGGTCAGAGCACTCAACTGTTCTGTGTCCTGGGACAGATCACGTATAAACTTGCGATAAAAATTAATAAATCCTAAAAACGATTGAACTTGCTTTTTATATATATTTTTATATCAAAAATCTAAATCTAAATTCAATAAAATTACAATATACATGTTTTGGACCCCTCCCGAAAAAAATTTCTAGATACGGCCTTGCTACAGGCAATATGACGTCTAATGTCTCAGGACGGAAAATTTTAAATAAAATTTGTAGCATATTAACATCGGATCAATCTGTGAATATTGACGAAACGGTATTCAATTTTCAAGTGGTTATAATACCTAAAGGTGGCAAACCTAAACCATCTTGGGAATACTTGGATCTTTTTACCAAAAACAAAAAATGTGTAATTCAAATTAATAATGAAGATGAATTGTGTTGCCCCCGTGCTATTATAGTGGGATTATCGTACAAGACTGACGTTATATTGGGACATAAATTAACCGATAGCCAAATAAAAGACCTACGGCATGGTAGAAATAATATTCAAACACGTTTCACAAAAGAACTATGTCAAAAATTAGAAATATATGATAACAGACCATTTACATACCGCGATATAGAAAATATAGAAACATTTTTAAACATTCAAGTAAAAGTCGTGAATGTTGATAATTTTTGTGAAATTGACTACTCGGGTAAAGAAAATAGAATTAAGATTTACCTATTAAAAAAAAATGAACATTTTAATACGATTTATTCCATGTCATCATTTATGGAGCGTGTGTACTATTGTGAATTATGTGATACGGGGTATAATAATAAAACTAAGCACGTCTGTAAAAAAGGACCATGGCTAAAGTGGAATCTATGTAACGAAGACTATCACATCCAAGACCTTAGAAAAGAAAAACAATTTTGCCAAGAGTGCGATATTGTGTTGATATTGAATGTTTGAGAAAATATAAAAAAGTTTGCGATAAAGAATATAAATGTGGTGGATGTAATTTAATCCTACATAGGAACGACATCACGCACAACAGCGTTTGCGGACTTGGAAAATGTCATAATTGTAAGCAGGAAAATATCAAATTATGTCAACATGAATGTTATATGCAACGGAAAATGGGAAAAGGAGGCTATTGTGTGGAAGCCTGTGTTTGTAACGAACAATCGACAGAAAAACAGAAAGGCTGTACTTTCACTACCAATTATATATTTTTCGATTATGAAGCGCAACAAAACACAGGAACGCACATACCAAATATGGCTATCGCTCACGACTTTGAAGGAAACAAATTTGTATTTTCTACGGATGACGGGGGTTCGGCCAATGATAAATTTTGTAAATGGGCACTTAGTAAAGAAAAGAAAGGAACAACATACATAGCACATAATTCAAAAGCATATGATACATATTTTATAATTAAGTATATTTTAAAACATATGCCTACAGTGAAGTATGAAGTAATTCGGAACGGAACAAAAATTATGATGCTTGAAATAAAAGAAGGGGGCCTAAATATAAAATTTATTGACAGCCATAACTTTGTACAGTCTAAGCTAGCGGACTTTCCGAAAACATTTGGACTTACGGAATCAAAAAAAGGTTATTTTCCACATTATTTCAACACTCCCGAAAATCAAAATTATATAGGGCCTTTACCGGACAAATATTATTACGGTTATAACTTCATGGCGAGAAAACAGCCAGCAGCATTCATAAATTGGTATGAAGAGATGACAAGTAAAAATTTTGTATTTAATTTCAAAAATGAGTTGGAACAATATTGTCATTCGGACGTTGATATATTACGAAGAGGGTGCTTAGAACTAAGGAATACATTTTTGGACGTGTGCAATATTGACCCATTTAAATACATTACAATTGCAAGTGTTTGTATGGCAATTGTTGAAAGTGAAGCTTGACGGACTAATGATGTTAGCATTAATATAATAAGTAATAACACGACAATATGATTATGTATAAGTATAATATATAATAACGTACAACTGGACAATTAAACTGTGACAGTACACACACATCGTATACGCTCTGTACAACGACGCCTGTGCAAGTGAATATTACATACATCAAAGGCCCTATATATATGCACGACCGAGGTCATGTTACATCCGTAAAGAGAGTGAGTCTTATGCTCGTACATAACTAGTTACTATATTGTACACACGTGTCAAGGCTGACTACATATACTACATATTAATTGTATATTTCAACAGCAATTTATCGACAAAATGACTTGTTAAATAATTCTATAGCAGTCGTCCAAAATACCAAAAAAGAAACTTTTTCAGACGAGTCTACCAAGTGGATGAAAAGTAAAATATCAAACGAAAATAAAAACATACGCTATGCTACGGTGGGGAGGCCATCATATGCGGTGCTAAAGTCGACGGTTATGACGAATCTGAAAAAAAAGTTTATGAGTATCATGGATGTTTTTGGCATGGCTGCCCGGATTGCTTCCATCCTAATGATATAAACCCTGTTAATAAAAACACTATGACTGATTTATATAACAACACGATACGGCGAACATCTCAATTGAAAGCAAAAGGGTATCAAGTTGAAGAAATGTGGAGTTGTAAATGGAGAAAGCACGCAGAGTACAAACAAATGATGCAATATCCTGATGATGTAATTGAGTCACTAAACCCCCGAGATGCATTTTTCGGAGGCAGAACAAACGCAACAAAACTAATGGTTAAAAATAAAAAAATTAAATACATTGACGTGTGCAGTCTATACCCAACCGTAATGTATTTTGACAACTATCCCGTAGGTCATCCAAAAAAATGTATAAACCATCAATACAACAATACATGCGATCAAACTGGTATGGTTTTATTAAATGTAAAATATTACCACCTAACAAATTATATCATCCCGTACTCCCGGTAAAAACTAATAAATTAGTATTCACACTTTGCCATAAATGTCATATAGATAAAGTTAGACAGTGTACACACGACGAAGAACAGAAGGCGCTTACTGGAACCTGGACAACAGACGAAGTGCAAAAAGCATTAGACAAAGGCTATAAGATTCTAAAAATTTACAAAGTGCAACATTTTGAAAAAAAATCTAATACGCTATTTAAGGAATATATACAGCGATTTTTAAAAATTAAACTGGAAACTAGCTCGTGGAGAAATGACTATCGAACGGTTAATATCGACTTTATTTTAGCAGTTAAAAATGCAGTAGGTATCGATTTGGATATAGAAAATATAAAAGAAAATCCTGGATTTAGAGCACTTGCTAAAATATGTCTTAATTCATTTTGGGGAAAGTTTGGACAAAGACCTAATCAGACAAATACAGAGATTATATAAAAACCGGAAAGATGGTACCAAGTATTGTTGGACAAAAAATTTGAAGTTGATAGCATAGTTTTTTAACTGACGATTTAGTCGAAGTTTCATATAAAAAAATCAACGAATACGCCGGACACGAATACAATACTAATATTTACATAGCTGCATTCACGACAGCAAATGCAAGATTGCGATTGTATACAATGTTGGATAATCTCGGCGAGAAAGTAGTATATTACGATACTGATAGTGTCTTTTATATTTACGATGAAACCGAAGTGGATACGGGGTGTATGCTAGGCGAGTGGACGGATGAATTAGGTCCAGGTATACACATATCCGACTGGGTATCGACAGGTCCTAAAAGTTTTGCCCACACAGATAATAATAATCGTACAACCACAAAAATAAAAGGATTTACACTAAGTTATGAAAATATTCAAAAATTAAATATGGACAGTATAAAAAAAATAATAAACGACGAAATAAGGGACATAGAACTACACTTTCAACAAATAACACGAAATTCTAAAACTAAACAATTAGCAACAGCATTTACATCAAAAACTTTCAAAATGGAATACGATAAATATGTATTCGTTATATATAGTTATGTATTCGGAAGGTGACATGATAGAAACGTTACCATGGGGGTACTTGAACAACTAAATGTTAAAAATTGTTATACTGTATACAAAATATACCATGTAAATATTATTATTATTATTATCATGTAAATATCTGTATGATTTTGTTTTCAATAATTATACCATGTAAATATTATTATTATTATCATGTAAATATCTGTATGATTTTGTTTTCAATAATTATACCATGTAATATATAAAAAAAAAAAACCAAGGTTTAAATATTATTATTGTTTATTAAAAATATAGAATACAATCTTAAACATTATTAACATACCAATTTTTAAATGTAAACTATATATAATGTAAACTGTATATAATGTAATTTATTTGTAAACTGTATATAATGTAAAAATAATTTAAATTGTACATAATGTAAAATATAATTTATACGTGAAAAAATTATAATCTTATATTATCAACATACCATTTTTTTAATGCAAATGCTTTATTCAATGTACATTGTAATGGATTGAAATCTTTATGAAAAATACTGCATGATAGTGATTGTCCAATCAATGAACAAATCCGAGGACATTCAAAGAGTTCCAATTCGTAGACGGTGGCGTGAGGTATAAACTCGATGATGATCCGTTGTTTCTGCAAACCTTTAACGTAAATTCTGTCGAATTTGATCGATTGGAATATTTTATGTATTTCTTCATACTCCACATCACCGTAATCCGGAGACAAACCGTGATGCAGCCGTTGCAGCCAACTGTTTACACTTCGACTTTTTGCATCTTGTTTTAAAGATGTATTTTTAAATATCCAGTGTTGATTGTACGATGTCTCAGTGTCTACGATAGACATTTCTTTAATAAACCACTTGTTGTTGACTCCGACAACGCACTGCACGTCCAGGACAGCCGATGACATGTTTGTAGATTAATTAGTTTTTATAATAATTTGCTGTACCGAACAGATTCACATCTGAACTACCACTGGAACTATTTTTTTTAATATCTCCCTTATTTATCCATGAATTATGAGAATCGTCAAACCCCACCCACTTGACATATATCTGATTCCCCTTCTTTCGTTCAATTTTTTCAATTAAATAATCATTAGGATAATTTGTTTTAGATATTTCTTCGTTATAAAAACAACCAGCTATTGGATCATCGTTATAATCATGTAACTGATAAGTTGGTGGTCTTGTTTTGTTTATTTTTACTATTGTGAATATTTCTGTTGACGAATTGGTAAATATCCTTTTGTAAAAACTCCTTTGTGAGTGCTTATTCGAACTTTATCGCCAACACGAAATTTTACTTTTGTATTAGTGATTGCACGTTGTTTCAAAGTCACTAGTGAAGGATTTTCTTCTGCCTGCAATGGTGTCATACCGATCGTTCTATGCCTTCTATTGTTGTAATTATCTATCAGCATGGGTAAAATAGATATCCATTTATGTGAACCTCGAGCAGTAAACTCTCTATACATGTTTGTTTTCAGAGTGCGATTAAACCTTTCAACAAAACAAGCTTTTGTTGTAGAATAGGTGCTATACTTTTTTATATTAAACTTGGACATTAACGTATCAAATTTTAAATTATAAAATTCTTTTCCGTTATCTACTTGTAGCAGTTTAGGCGACCCATCAGTAAGTATAGTAGACATGGCCTTGGTCACCTCACCACCAGTTTTTGTTTTTAATGGTAAAGCCCAGGCGAACTTTGTAAAACAATCACATAGGATATAATTATATCCATTGTTTTCCTTTGAATGTGGTATCATCTCGACCAAGTCTGCCTGCCATAAATCGTTTTTTTCCGTACACGTTTACTCTTCGTCTTGTATAATTTTTCCTAGCTGGTCTGTGAAGTTCGAATGCTATGTCACGTTTAGACATTTGGTATTTTCTTTGTTATGCCGGATTCATAGAGTTCTTCAAAAATAGATAATATTTCGTTTGAAACCCCAGTGTTTCCCGCAGATTGAGAGGCTAAAAGAAGTCGTAACCTATCAA